GGTTTCTTCCTGTTAAAAGGGAGTTTTTCCTTCCCACTGTCGCCAAAGTGCTTGCTCATAGGGGGTCATATGATTGTTGGGTTTTTCTCTGTATTTATGAAGCGCCTTGAGGCGACTTTTGTTGTGATTTGGCGCTATATAAATAAAATTGAATTGAATTGAATTGAATTGAAAGGTCTCCTTGTTATGTGAGCGTGCACAGATCATGAAGCAGAAAGCCTGAGTTAACAGATAAATGATCTGTTAACCCAGGCTTGGGGCTTTCTCTCTAATATTGTTGGCTGTTACCATACATTGTTAAACAACATGAGATGACTTTAGTTGTGTGTACAGTATTGTCAGTTGTAAAGTTAGATTAAACTGAATGGATGTAAATGGATAGGTGTTATTGTATATGACAAAGAGAAAATGATTGTTGACAGATGGATTGTTGTTTTGTGTGTCTGCAGTCTGTCAGGCTGTCTGATCACAGAGGAAGGCTGTACTTCTCTGGCCTCAGCTCTGAGCTCCAACCCCTCCCATCTGAGAGAGCTGGACCTAAGCTACAATCATCCAGGAGACTCAGGATTGAAGCAGCTGTCGGCTGGACTGAAGGAACCAGGCTGGAGACTGGACACTCTCAGGTATGGAGAGAGTGTCTGATAGAGGAGGAAAAGCTGGAAACATTTCCTGTGTCCTTCACTCACGTCTTGTTTGTTCATAACACATGAACTGATCAATAAGAGATATTCCTGTAGGAGATGTCCAGGGAGCACTTCTCCGGGAACAACTTGTAGATATCCCAGTACATTTAGTATTCATCTTTCTATAGAAAGGGTATTAAAATAAGCACTGAATAAAAATAAACAGTGAAAACTGTTAGCTTAGCTTAATCAAAAATAAAAATAAAGAAAAAAATCATTATTTTACAATCAGACCCGTGGAAGAAACTGACAAATAGAGGGAGATGCTAAATAAATAACAATAAAATAACAGTGTCAGTGACCCACTAAATCAAAGGCCAGGCAATAAAGTTGAGTTTTTAATCTGGATTTAAAAACCACCACTGATGTAGACTGCCTAATGTGAAGAGGAGGATTGTTCCAAAGATTCGGGGTCCACAATAGAGAAAGCTTGGTCTCCTCTAAGGTTTAGCCATGAGAGCAACAGCTTCTAAGCCATAGGTGTCAAACTCTGGCCCGCAGGCCAAATTTGGCCCGCAGCCTAATTACATTTGGCCCGCGAAGCCATACCAAATTACTATTAGAGCTGGCCTACTGGTATTTTACAGCTAATATATATATTGTTTAGTATTAAGCTTTGCTTGTTCCATATTCAGTTTTTCAGCAAAACTTGTTTGAGTCCATAAGAAGAGATTCATTCTTATATCTAGAGGAATATATTTCAATATATATTAATGTTAGCCCGCGACTTTGTTCCAGTTTTGAATTTTGGCCCACTGTGTATTTGAGTTTGACACCCCTGTTCTAAGCTGACCGGAGTGAGCGAGGTGGGATATAGGGCGTCAGCAGATCGCACAAATATACAGGTGCCAGACAATTTACGGATTTAAAAAACAGGAAAAGAATTTAAAAATAGATCCTAAATTCAATTGGAAGCCAGTGTAAGGAGGCCAGAAGTGGAGTAATATGCTCAAATTTTCTTTACCAGTTTACCACTTTTACCAATTTTCTTTTAAAAACCGTGCCGCAACAGTTGCAGGTGTGACCGAGTGCCCTCGCCAACCTCCATTAAAAGGAGTTGCAGTAATCCAAGCGTAAGGTTATCAAAGCATTGTTGACAGTTTCGAAGTCATGCCTGTAAAGAAAAGACTCAACCTTCGACAGATGTCTGAGGTGATAGAATGAAGATATCAGCACCCCGTGGCCATCAAATCATAGAGCAGTGTAAATTGGGACTGAATAAATCCATGATTTAACATCAGACAATCAAGCAGGAGTCCAATCGAATAAAATGACAGTAAACAGCATCCTCGACATGCAAGTTACAGAAAGAGAATCCATATGATATCACCAAGTCCAATGTGTGACCTTGTTCTTGAGTGGTGCCCTTAACAGACTGAACAAGATTAAAAGAGTTCACTAAGTCCATGAAGTCCTTATCAGGGGCTTCTCTGGGCAAACGACGTGAATATTAAAATCACAAAGTAAAAGGAGATGGTCATACCGTGATGCACAGTCAGCAAGAAAGTCCAAAAAAAAAAACTCAGATAAAAAAATCCTGATATGTTATATATCACTGAGTTACAGAAGAATCAGAAAGAAAGGAGGCAGTTATGACTGTTGGCTTGGATACAATGATCAGTCCTGGTGTCTAAACTGCTCCTCCTTTCAGGGTGGAGCCTGCTGGAGTCCGATGGTTGAGACCAGGTCTGAGGAAGTGTAAGTGTGCTTTTAATGTGATTCATGAAAACAAAGCAGCACACATTCAACCATCTTCATCATTCTGATGTCAGGAGCCATCATCAAAGTGTCAATCAATGAACAGATGATGGATCAATAACTGCAGCTGGATTGTGTTTGCTCTCTCCATCAGATTCCTGTCAACTCACAATCGACACAAACACAGTGAACACAAAGCTCCAACTGTCTGACAACAACAGGAATGTGACATGTGTGGAGGAGGTTCAGTCATATCCTGATCATCCAGACAGATTTGATAGTTGGGAACAGCTACTGTGTAGAAATGGTCTGACTGGTCGCTGTTACTGGGAGGTCGAGTGGAGAGGAAGGGTTGATATATCAGTGAGTTACAGAACAATCAGAAGGAAAGGAGGCAGTTATGACTGTGTGTTTGGATACAATAATCAGTCCTGGTGTCTAAACTGCTCTGGGGATGGTCCACAATTTGCCAGGCATAATAGTATGAAAGGACGCATCTCCTCCATCTCCTCCTCCTCTGTCTCTAACAGAGCAGCAGTGTATGTGGACTGTCCTGCTGGCACTCTGTCCTTCTACAGAGTCTCCTCTGACACTCTGATCCACCTCCACACCTTCAACACCACATTCACTCAAACTCTTTATCCTGGGTTTTGGTTCTATCCTGGTTCCTCAGTGACTCTGTGCTGAGTGGAGTGTAAAGAGTGTCCTCCTGTTAGAGAAACACTCTGACTGTTGAACAGATAGTTCAGTCTGTACATGTCTGTCTCTTTCACTCACAAACACGTTTTCAGATTCATGGATTCAATCAGTTGATGTTTGAAACTGTTCTAAATGATTCCTTGTAAACTTCTTCCTCTTCAGTCCTTTAAAGATGGAAGCTCCCATTATTCCAGGATCCACATGTTGTTTTTCTGAAAATATTGGCTCAATAGTTTTGAATGCAGTTCTAAGCAGAATCTGATTGTATTGAGGGAATGCATGTAGCTTATCTAATAAACAGCAAAGGCTTCAATCCTCATTTGAAAGTAGTCTTGTGTTTTTCCCATGTTGATCAAGAACATGGTGCAGGATGTTGGTAACAGCTTGGTTCTCAATCTCTTAGAAACATGTAAATATGTGTGTATAGCACTGCATATGTTGGGTATCACTTTAGTTTGTATGAAACTATTAGAAGCTGATTCATTGTCTCTGTGAAGGTTCTCAGTCATCCAGGTCATCGTAGTCTAGGATGCGTGGAAAGAAAAGAGTCTGGACTATTTAAGTTGCTTGAAGACGTTTCACCTCTCATCCGAGAAGCTTCTTCAGTTCGAGGTTAAATGGTGGAGAGTCCCAGATTTAAACCCTGTGGGAGTGTCCCCCCCAAGAGGGACAATAGACATTAATCACACTAATCACATGAGCCAAGGTGTGAAAACAGGTTGCTCACAGTGGATACGTCCACTGTGAGCCACCATCTTTGAACAGAGGTGGTGGGTTACAACAACAACTGTCTGCCATCTATAATCCAGTTCTGTGATCCCTTCCTAGATGCCTTAACGCCCACTCACACCCTGGGCGATCTGACCTCAGCAAATCACATGATAGGGTGGGGCCAGGTTTCACAATGAGCTCACCCGAAACCTTATGCTGATTGTGACCCACACCCATTTTCACGCCTTGGCTCATGTGATTGTGATTGATTGATTATTAGTTGAAGTTCATAATGGAGTAAAAAGTTGCAGTTAAAAGTTACTCAATGTATTATTTAATTTCTTTCAAATATGTAAATGTATAAACAAGGGTAAAAGAAGTCCCATTAAGACACAGGTGTCAAACTCTGGCCCACGGGCCAAATTTGGCCCGCAGCCTAATTACACAATAGCCCGCGAAGCCATACCAAATTACTATTAGAGCTGGCCTACTGGTATTATACAGCTAATATATATATCGTTTGTATTAAGCTTTGCTTGTTCCATATTCAGTTTTTCAGCAAAACTTGTTTGAGTCCATAAGAAAAGATTCATTCATATATTTGGAGGAAGATTTTTTTTTCAATAAATATTAATGTTAGCCCGCGACTTTGTTCCAGTTTTGAATTTTGGCCCACTGTGTATTTGAGTTTGACACCCCTGCATTAAGAGATGTAATGTAACACAGGCTAAAACAGTTAAAAGAGTTCATGACTATGTTCAACCGGATAACAATCCTTAATGTGACTACAACCTGTGTAAAATTCAATCTGTGATCTACTTGTCGAGCCTGGGGAATAATCCTTGTGATTCAGTGATCATGATTGATTCGTTATGCCTGACGTTGCGGGAGGGGGAGCTCTGGCCCGATGCCTCATTTGCAATGAAGCTGCTGAAAGAGAAGCATCATGTCTGAGCGTCATCATTGACTTATCCCCTTTTCAGGTAAGAATTGACCAATTCTGCTTTTGAACTTTACAAATATGTATGTTGAGCTGTACTGACCGTGTTTCCAAATGTACCAAGAGGATACTAGGAATATTTAGATGATTTGTGTTAACTGTGTTGTCAGGATAAGCTATAAGCAGCAAGCTAAGCTAAGCCCTCTGTTGGTGGCTAGTATGGAGCACTATCGTGCCAGACTGTGTATGAAACATACAGCATTGTGTGCATTTTGCATTTGATCTGCACAAAGAACATGTTTATTTTGTGTGAAGGGACAAATCAACATCAAACTCAACACAACATCAAACTTTATTTATAGAGCACATTTAAAAACCAGCGGTATACCAAAGTGCTTAACATAAAAGACAGAAAAGTAACATGAGTATTATAAGGCCTCAGCAAAGTACCAAATATACTCAGAGGTCATTGCCACTAATACACAGGGGTAGTATAAAATGCATATTAGTATTTTTATATGAATATTTTGTTTATTTTCTATACATTTAAGTTTAATGATCTAAGTTTGCTTATTGATTCATAAGCTGTTTTTGTAAATTCTTGCATTCAATTTATTCTGTAACTTAAAGGAAAGGAAAGAAGACGGTCTTGAGATATATTGTCTTACAACTAACAGAGACTGTACATCGTTGTTAAGATTTTAATACGTTTGTATGTATGTTTATATTTCTGAGTCATTCGCAATGAAGCTGCTGAAAGAGAAGCATCATGTCTGAGTGTCATCATTGACTTATCCCCTTTTCAGGGTGTAACATGATTAGGTAGGGGGTCATCAGGGGGTCGTTTTGTCCCTCTTTGGGGGTATACTCCACCATTTGACCTTAGAACTGAAGAAGAGGTGAAACGTCTTCAAGCAACTTAGAGAAGTCCAGACGCTTTTCTTTCCAAGCTCCTTAGACAAGGTTGAAAATGGTTTATCTTTTCATTCTTTCCTAACCTGGAAGCAACATGAGGCAGCTCCTGTATCAATGTTACCAAACGAAGGCATCTAGCCTGGATATCAGCTGTGAGATGAGCTGATATCCAGTTCTCTTCCATCTCCAAATATCTGTTGGTGCTCCAGACATTTTCATTCTGGTAAGTTCTAAATATGTTCATATCACTCTTTATAGCCTATTAGTTTTATTTTCGATGCGCTCTGAGGTCATAGCAAATTAGAACAAACATCCTAATGAGTGATTTTGCAGAACTACCTTCTATTTATAGAGTTGCTAATTATTTGGCATTATTGCAGCAAACCAGCCTATGGAATGGATGAAACACACCGTGACTGGGTTCCAGCGCTACACAAGCTCCTTAGACCAAGCTGATTCTGTCACGGTCTGGGTGGCAAACCTTGGGGGATGTTGGAGAAAAGGACCCAAACGCTGGACTTAGTGGAATGAGCAGTGGGTTTATTTACAGTGAGGTACATGTACACCACACAATAAATCTCCAAAGTGCTCCCTCGACTCCCGTGACGTGTCTTCTCCTAAGTGCTGGTATTTCGTGCTCTCTGCCCCTGTGCCTTCGCACACCCCGTGCGTCCTGCAGTCCTGTGTTCCGCTGTCCTCCTGAGGAAAAACAACAGACACAGCCGTTATGGCACCAACTCCAGCAGGCATACACTGAACCGCACTTTAAACACTGACATGGAGTCTAACTCAACGATCCTGCGCCGGAGGAAGCTCCATCGCTCTGTTAAGTAGCTCCCCCGACGAGCCTGATCAGAAGCAGGTGTGTGAGAACCTAGGCGTGACCGGCAGCCGGCAGGGCCACGCCCATCAGGCCTGCAGGTGGCTGTCCTTCGTCCTTCAGCCACACCCGCAGACACCCACACCTACACACACACCAGCATGGAACACAAGAGCACAGTGCAGCAAACATACATCCAATACAATAATAACAATAATAATAATAATAACAATAACAATAATAATAATGGTCCACACTGTTCACGGACCCTGAGTCCCCGGAACCAGGTCCATGACAGATTCATTGTTTTTCATGCAGCTCTAATTTGATAAAACACTGCATCAAAAACAAAGAGAAAGTGATGTCACATCTGTTTATGTCCACACAATTAGAAGAATAATTTGGACATGTGTGAAGAACTCTAACCATGAGAGCAAACCAAAACAAGAAAGCAATGTCAAACAGATCCTTCCAACAGACAATTTCCATGACTGGAACTGTTCAATCTAAAAATCCTACATTTGTATGGGTCACAAGCACATCAGCAGCAGTCATTATTTGAATCCCTTTAAATGTGTTGTTTGATTGAATAAGTCATATTAAACAGTGATTTAGATCAATAATATAATACTTTAGTGTTGTTAGCTTCATTGGAAACTTGCACACAGCTGTGAATGTGGGAGTGAGTGTGAATGGTTGTCTGTGTCTACGTGTCAGCCCTGCCACAGACTGGCCACCTGTCCAGGGTGGACCCCGCCTCTCGCCCTAACACAGCCTGGATAGGCTCCACCCCCCACGACCCTGATAAGGATAAGCAGAAGTGACTGGATGGATGGATATAACAAGGTTATAAGAAACATGGAACATGACAAGGTGCTGTAGTCCAGTCTATGTTGTGTGTTCTCCCTGTGCCAAAAACCCACTACAGTATAAAACTATGTCAAGCAGTGTGAATGAGCATATTTAATGTGTGGAGGATACGATCATGAGAATAATATTAATGCCACTTAAATTCTACACCCAAGCTTCTTATGGCACTTGCAGAGGTAGAAATGTTGGATGATGGGGGGCTTCAGTTGGTGGAGCTGAGCCCTGTTGACCCCTGGATGGCTGATCCTCGAGAGCCTCTGGAGCTCCAGGAAGGAGAAGTGAAAGGACCTGTTTTGATTTTACACTTTAAATAACAAATATTTAAGCACAGTTTTCAGACAATACTGTGGATTGCGTTACTCTTAAAGAACTGTTTATCACAATGATCTCAAACTTCAATTATCTAACTAATAATAATAATAATCTCACATTTTCTCCATACTGAATGAACTAAGAGTCCATCAGTGGTCCCCCAAATGTAAATGTTCTTTGAGCTTCCTGTCAGGTGACATGCTTCAGCCACGCCTGCATGGAGCTACAGCTTGGTGAGAGAAGGTTCATGTTCGACCCCTGGTTGAAGGGTCCCGCGTTTGCTAGGGGCTGGTGGCTTCTCCATGAGCCTCCAGCAGACACACTTTGTGCTGCAGATCTCATCTACATCAGCCATATGCACTCAAACCACCTCAGGCAAGCTCTGCTAATGTTGTTAAATACAGCAGTTCCTCCTTAATCGCAGGAGTTACGTTCTAAAAATAACCCGCGATAGGTGAAATCTGCGAAGTAGCCAGCTTTATTTTTTACAATTATTATAGATGTTTGAAGGCTGTAAAATCCCTCACTACACACTTTATACACTTTTCTCAGACAGACATGAACGTTTTCACACTTTTC